CCTGAGCACTCTGGAGAAGGTTTTCGCCCAGGATATCCCTGTACTTGGCCGCATTCATCTTTCCCTCGATTGCAACCAGTCGTCCTGTCCCTGCAGCTGAAAAACACCCCCACAGCATGATGCTGCCACCACCATGCTTCACTGTTGGGACTGTATTGGACAGGTGCCTGGTTTTCTCCACACATACCACTTAGAATTAAGGCCAAAAAGTTCTATCTTGGTCTCATCAGACCAGAGAATCTTATTTCTCACCATCTTGGAGTCCTTCAGGTGTTTTTTTAGCAAACTCCATGCGGGCTTTCATGTGTCTTGAACTGAGGAGAGGCTTCCGTCGGGCCACTCTGCCATAAAGCCCCGACTGGTGGAGGGCTGCAGTGATGGTTGACTTTCTACAACTTTCTCCCATCTCCCGACTGCATCTCTGGAGCTCAGCCACAGTGATCTTTGGGTTCTTCTTTACCTCTCTCACCAAGGCTCTTCTCCCCCGATAGCTCAGTTTGGCCGGACGGCCAGCTCTAGGAAGGGTTCTGGTCATCCCAAACGTCTTCCATTTAAGGATTATGGAGGCCACTGTGCTCTTAGGAACCTTAAGTGCAACAGAAATTTTTTTGTAACCTTGGCCAGATCTGTGCCTTGCCACAATTCTGTCTCTGAGCTCTTCAGGCAATTCCTTTGACCTCATGATTCTCATTTGCTCTGACATGCACTGTGAGCTGTAAGGTCTTATATAGACAGGTGTGTGGCTTTCCTAATCAAGTCCAATCAGTATAATCAAACACAGCTGGACTCAAATGAAGGTGTAGAACCATCTCAAGGATGATCAGAACAAATGGACAGCACCTGAGTTAAATATATGAGTGTCACAGCAAAGGGTCTGAATACTTAGGACCATGTGATATTTCAGTTTTTCATTTTTAATAAATCTGCAAAAATGTCAACAAATCTGTGTTTTTCTGTCAATATGGGGTGCTATGTGTACATTAATGAGGAAAAAAAATTAACTTAAATGATTTTAGCAAATGGCTGCAATACAACAAAGAGTGAAAAATTTAAGGGGGTCTGAATACTTTCCGTACCCACTGTATATACACACATTTAAGAAAATAAAAGAAATTAAATAAAAATGACAAATGCATTCAACAACATTTCAAAACTAAACATTTAAATGAAAACAAAAAAATAAAGCTAAAAACAATTCAAAATATTAAAGAACAAAAGGTATAAGAGTATAATAATGATTCTAACATAACACTAAGCCAAACACCAAAAAAACAACTACATATGTGTATGTACAGCCACACACATATACATGTACATATATATAAATACATTAAATATATATATATATTATTTCATTTCCATTTTGTATGTTGAAGTACTGAAATAACTCAAATTAAATAAAACTAAAACTTAATAAAAAAAACTATATAGACATAATAAAAAAACTAATAAAATGACAACATGACTACAACTGTAACTAAAACTAAAATAGATAACTAATACAAATCAAACTACAGTAGTTTATCAGTAATCCTAAAAAAAAATAACACTGAGGCAAACAATATTTTGAAGAATGTTGGTAACCAAACAGTTTATGGTTTACAGTAGCCACAGTATGCAAAAATACAATGGCTACCATCAACTGTTTGGTTACCTACACTCTTCAAAATATATTTTTCTGTGCTCAAACACTCATACAGGTTTGGAACAACTTGATGTAAGGAAATGATGACAATTTAAATTTTTTGGCCAAATGAAGCCTTTAAGTTTTCTGTAACATTATGTTCACATATGCAAACGTTGCATTATCTAATTAAATATGCACTCATTTGCATATATTTCCAGAATAATAAACTGAACATTGCATAAAGCCTGGTCCAATTTTTTTTTTACATATTAGAGTTAAAGGCTTTTACTGAGGGGATCTCTCTTTTAATCGCTCCATAAATCACAAAATACCGCCAGAAAAAAACCACCATATTTAGAGGTTACAGTGGGTACGGAAAGTATTCAGACCCCCTTAAATTTTTCACTTTTTGTTATATTGCAGCCATTTGCTAAAATCATTTAAGTTAATTTTTTTTCCTCATTAATGTACACATAGCACCCCATATTGACAGAAAAACACAGATTTGTTGACATTTTTGCAGATTTATTAAAAAAGAAAAACTGAAATATCACATGGTCTTAAGTATTCAGACCCTTTGCTGTGACACTCATATATTTAACTCAGGTGCTGTCCATTTGTTCTGATCATCCTTGAGATGGTTCTACACCTTCATTTGAGTCCAGCTGTGTTTGATTATACTGATTGGACTTGATTAGGAAAGCCACACACCTGTCTATATAAGACCTTACAGCTCACAGTGCATGTCAGAGCAAATGAGAATCATGAGGTCAAAGGAATTGCCTGAAGAGCTCAGAGACAGAATTGTGGCAAGGCACAGATCTGGCCAAGGTTACAAAAAACTTTCTGCTGCACTTAAGGTTCCTAAGAGCACGGTGGCCTCCATAATCCTTAAATGGAAGACGTTTGGGATGACCAGAACCCTTCCTAGAGCTGGCCGTCTGGCCAAACTGAGCTATCGGGGGAGAAGAGCCTTGGTGAGAGAGGTAAAGAAGAACCCAAAGATCACTGTGGCTGAGCTCCAGAGATGCAGTCGGGAGATGGGAGAAAGTTGTAGAAAGTCAACCATCACTGCAGCCCTCCACCAGTCGGGGCTTTATGGCAGAGTGGCCCGACGGAAGCCTCTCCTCAGTGCAAGACACATGAAAGCCGGCATGGAGTTTGCTAAAAAAACACCTGAAGGACTCCAAGATGGTGAGAAATAAGATTCTCTGGTCTGATGAGACCAAGATAGAACTTTTTGGCCTTAATTCTAAGCGGTATGTGTGGAGAAAACCAGGCACCTGTCCAATACAGTCCCAACAGTGAAGCATGGTGGTGGCAGCATCATGCTGTGGGGGTGTTTTTCAGCTGCAGGGACAGGACGACTGGTTGCAATCGAGGGAAAGATGAATGCGGCCAAGTACAGGGATATCCTGGACGAAAACCTTCTCCAGAGTGCTCAGGACCTCAGACTGGAACTAAGGTTTACCTTCCAACAAGACAATGACCCTAAGCACACAGCTAAAATAACGAAGGAGTGGCTTCACAACAACTCTGTGACTGTTCTTGAATGGGCCAGCCAGAGCCCTGACTTAAACCCAGTTGAGCATCTCTGGAGAGACCTAAAAATGGCTGTCCACCAACGTTTACCATCCAACCTGATAGAACTGGAGAGGATCTGCAAGGAGGAATGGCAGAGGATCGCCAAATCCAGGTGTGAAAAACTTGTTGGATCTTTCCCAAAAAGACTCATGGCTGTATTAGATCAAAAGGGTGCTTCTACTAAATACTGAGCATTTTTCAGTTTTTCTTTTTTAATAAATCTGCAAAGATGTCAACAATTCTGTGTTTTTCTGTCAATATGGGGTGCTGTGTGTACATTAATGAGGAAAAAAAATTAACTTAAATGATTTTAGCAAATGGCTGCAATATAACAAAGAGTGAAAAATTTAAGGGGGTCTGAATACTTTCCGTACCCACTGTATGTTCAAACAACATGTAAAAGTGAATTTTGCATAATAGGTGCCCTTACCGACCCTGAAATTGTGATGGTAATGTACATACTGAAGATTTCAAACAGTGCAATAGCAAAAACAGACTGTTTAACTCTAAATAACAGAGATAGGGTGGAAAATGGTAATGTAAAACTAAATTACGACCACTCTGGAGCAAAAACACCCAGAACGCAAAATAAAACGCCTCTAACATCTACTTTCATTATCTACAAGGATTCACCTCAATGCCAATAATCGACATGCTTTCACTACCTCACTACAGTTTCATTACATCACAGATTCAGAGAAGATCTGCACAAAGAATTTGAGGAAGTTGACACAAATGATAAAACAGTACAGAAGCATAATATCATATAAACAGAAAAATAATTAATTTAAACAAATTATAATAATTATATTTATAGTGTAAAACTTTGAATCTGAAAACACCAAATATGGACAAATAACAATTCATTCATGCCACTTACATCACTGTGGATCAGATTAACATTCCTATATGTATGTCCGTTTGCTAAAACACAGAACAGCAAAAAAGGTTCTTATAGCATGGATTATCTTGATACGAGCAATTCACGGTCATCAATTACAGTGAGGGAGACAAAGACAGAGACAGTGTGCCGCTCTTAAGAGATAAAAGAGCCATAGGCTAATGCTGAAAGAGATGTAGAGAACAGAGACGGGGATAAAAACAGACAAGGTCATGAGCGGCTAATTATCCTGTCAGTAGTAATGCACTCAAGCCTGTGATCACCACAGGGTCATCCGTACCACACGCACCTGAGACAGAGGTGTGTGGCGGTACGTTTTAACTTAGCGGACGAGTCTGTTTGTGCGCTTGGTGCAAGTCCTTCACCTCTTGGATGCAGGTACATGGTCTGACACAGAAAACACATTTAAAACATTATTAAAACGTTATTCCTTTCAGTCTTAAAATTTAAGATTTTTCATGCAGCGGCCTTTCAGCACCCAGTGGCCCATTATTAGCTGTAAAAATGCCACTTTCATTACCCCATTGTCATCGAGATGCTCAAATCTGCATCCTTCAGCACCAAACCTTCACCTTTTCATTTCTGCTCAGCTCCTTTTCTTTTCGCCCCCACTTCACATCTCTGCAAAAATCTCCCAGTGTCCTTCTCTGCCCATTAAAGAGGCCCTTTTTATTTTTCTCTTCTTGTTCTTCCCTAAATCAATCCATTTCCCCAACTGAATCACTCCACTCATGCGCCATAAAGCTTGTAATATAAGTGTCCATGAGCTTTACAACAAGCACAAAGTAAAAAACAGCCATGTAAAAGTTTTGTTTCTCTTAATTTTTTAATTCCATCAAGTTAATTAGGTCTAAAATGTCTTTTACCCGCCACCCGGATGTTTTTTACCTATTGGTGATGAGGCAGATATGTGGCATCACGTGGCAGCCGTTCCTCTCCCTCCAATGAAGTTCTCAGCTTCACAGATTCTGTGGAGTGCTTATGAGTTTTGATTTTCAAAGATCCAGAAAGAGATCTGAGAAAAGAAGCAGAAGAAAAGAGAAGTATGAAAACGCAGTGAGGTCATCGAGACATGCCACAAAATGAGAGTACAGATAAAGGGAACTATAAAACTGAAACCACCCATTTTTGACATTTCTTAGAGCAAACATAAAAAACAATTCTATGAATAATTTTGTTTAAATAAAATATACATTTCATAACACATCACTGAACAACTGATTTTTAATTTTACTTTTTATCTGAAACTTGGCCACAAAATAAAAGCCATAGTTATTCAACACAAATGAATAGGTCTGGGAAAAAACTAGTTATGCAACACTTGAGTAACAAAAACTGTAAAAGTAATGTTATAAAACAGAATTTATTATAATAACATTCTTGACTGAGTAAAACTGTTGTTTTTTTCCCCCATCATGAAATCAGTCAACAGCAACGCTAAAATTTTGTCTTGCCAAAGCGCTGGACATTCAGGTATTTAAGGCGCAAGAACAGCTCAAGGAGAGTTGGTCGTTCTGAAGCCCTGAAGCACTCAGGCCAGTTCAGAAATCAATCCCATCATGCCCTAGACATGACATCAAACACAGGCTGGGCTCTACACTCCCAGGGAAGCCCAAATCTCCACAGCTTAACACCATTATCATCCAAAATCCTGCTCACGGCAATACTGAGGGCTGGATTCTCCATTCCTTCAGCTAGTATGTGTGTGTGTCCAGTCTAGTACAGCAGGTATCTGTGTAAATTGAGAGATTTCTGGGTCATATGATGCACTCACTGATGGCTGAAATAAGCCCCTTTTTTAGATGACTCATGTCATTGAACTCTGGGGCTTTTGAGCAAAGGATCAGCTACAGCACTTCCGGTCAAGCGTTTTAGTGTGCCACTCAAAGTTCAGACAATTTCAACAACCCCACTTGCCGCTGACATTTCAAAGCACAACCAATGATTACCTGTGACTTCACAAGACGTATACAGTCCCTGTGTGTGTGTGTGTGTGTGTGTGTGTGTACCAATTTATTTGTTGTTTTCCATTCTATAATTTATCAAAGTAATCAAACCACTAGACTTTTCTTTTCCTAGCTCAAACAGTTTCCCGCTTTCTTGCTACCTAGCAACCTTATAAAATCAGTCTTCCATGACGCTGTCTGCAAAGCTTCACATGTGGACGTCAAAGCAGTGCATGCCACCCTGATGTGAGTCATGTGAAATGGGCTTTAAACCTACAAAATACGTGTGGAACTCAAGGGTGTTCACTCAATGATACCAATATTTGAAATATCAAACCTAAGATATGTATAATTACAGGCTCTGCTATTTTTGTTATTTCTGCTGCAATTATGCCAAAGCTTCTTGTTTTCTCTTTTTTCATTAAAATGAATTCAAATAAACTATGAGTATTGATATTAAATCAATTAACCACTAGGCATGGGCGATATGACCAAAATCTTATATCATGATGATATGAGTAATGTTATTTCATGGTAACAATATATATCACAAAATTGTAGGGATGCACCGAAATGAAAATTCTGGGCTGAAACCGAAACCAAAAATTCTGGATGCACTTGGCTGAAAGCCAAAACTGTTTTGTAATTATTTATTATTTTATTAAATAATAAGTAATTTTGTAAGGCTTTTTAATTTAACTTAATTTTTAACGACACTGAATTTAAAAAACACAAGCCAATAAAATAACCACACTTATGGCGCTTTTCCACTGCATGGTATGGCACAGTATGGCTTGGTACGGTTCACTTTTTGGGGGTTTTCCACTGGGTACAGTACCTGGTACTTTTTTTAGTACCACCTCGGTTGGGGTTCCAAGTGAACCGTACCGTTACCAAAACGTGACGTGTAAACTCTGCTGATCACGGATTGGCCGGAGAGAATCGTCACTACCTGCGTCACTGAACTTGCGACACAAACACAAAAGAACCGCTAGATTTAAATCAGCACAGCCAGCGAAGGATCGAACGCAACTGTTTTGAACGAGACTCTAAAGCGGTACTGAACTGCAGTGGAAACGCAACCCGTGCCGAGCCGAACCGTGCCGTGCCGTACTGAGCCGTACCGAGCCGAGTCGTACCACGCAGTGGAAAAGCGCCATTATTGAAATTAACAAAAAAATTGGACAGAATATATATTAATATTAAATACCAATGTATTATATTTATTCAGTTCTATGCAACAAAATCAAATATGTAGCTAATCCTTGGACCGCATGCTGTGGAAAGCTAAACCATCAGAGCTCAGGGTCGCCCAGGCTACGCCCAAAGTGCTGCAATAACCAATCAGAAAAAAAATTATATATTTTTTAAACCCACACGATCGTTGTTTTCTTGATCAATCGTTGCTGTCACGGCCGAGTACTCAATCTCTGTTGTACATCCCTACTCCAAAATCTCTACCGGCTGACAAATTTCTACCAGTTTATCGTGTCTACCAGTATATCGCCCACCCCTATTAACTACTATTCATTTTGTGATTCCTGAAGCTTTAAAAACTGTAAAATAACAGTTATTGCCAAGGAGAAAAAAATTTATCTGATTCCAGTTTGCATCATAATTTTGTGTGTCATTTAGATTGGAGGTAGAGTATTTCAATATTAATAATTTAAATAATTTTAATTTATAATAATTTTAATTAAAATACTTTCAAATCATTATATGGACTCTATGAAAGTTAGATGAGGCCCCTTAGTGCACCCAGGCCTCCTGGTTGAAAACCACAGCATATAATCCATATGAAAAATGGGAATGGGAAAAGATGCTGTAGAGCTAAAAAATGCACTATAAAATGACGTGTGTGCTATATTCCAAGTCTTCTCAAGACTGGTCTCATTTTATGCTTCATGAAGGAAATAAAGTCATGTGGGTCTAGAGTAGGCTTGCCGCGATAGACGGTGTTGACGGTGTTAAGCCGCAACACCGGTTAAGTCACTTGCCCACCGCGGCACCGACCCCCACTGTCGTTTTGAATTTTTATAGTAATAAAAATCATTTAGTTCCGTAAAAGAACAGACACTACAATTAAAAACTGAATGCGGCTGCTCAATGCAGTGTGCCGAACGACAGTCACATCACAGATCAGATTTCATTTCTCCAGTGAGGAGAGTGAGTCGATCTGACTGACAAGAAGAGAAAGGTTAGACAGACAAGACGATCGCGGATGATTTAGTTTCGAAACGAGATGCAAAAGCGCCTGTTTGGCAATATTTTGGATTTTGAAAAGCCTGTTGACTTTTGCCATTTATCTAAGGTGATTTTGGAAGTTTTATTTAATAAGTTTACTTATTTAATTGGTTCCACATTGTTTGCTGATTTTTACTTTATTTAAACTTTGTGTCATTTATTTATTTTATTTGCAAGGTGTATGCCGTGCCTCCAAGCTTTCTTACTCGTTTTGCTAATAAACGTCCTACGTTTCTTATTTATTTGGTTATATATTATACACG